ATGAATGGCAGGGTGCCTGGCTGAGACTTAAAAGGAGGATGACACCTACTTTCCCAAAGGAAAACATGTAGCTGCAGGCCCTACCTGGAAACATGAAGTGGCAGCAGCTAACATAAATAAGGTAATACCATTATACCACTACACTCCAGATCTTTCCTAGCAAAGCCACTAGAAGTTGGTCTTCAAGCTTCTTTTCAGCATATATTTCTTTTTAATATATATATCCACACGTTTCATTCTCAAGCTGAAACCAGTGCACAGTTATGCAATTATTATCTACACCAAGATCTGGACTTGAGTTCAAGCTGAAGTTCCATTCTTTTTGTCCTAAAATTCCAAGTATGCTGGGAAATTTGATCACAGCTCAAGGGCCTTTTATCTCCTGTATATGTTTAATTGTCATCAAACTGCCTCTTCAGTAGAAGAAAAACATATATTATATGGGTATTACATTCAGATCTAAAAAATGAAAAGTATTTCACAACCTAGCATGCACACACAGAATTTTACTTACTGAACAGACTCTGGTGTTCCAGTTAGCATACATGATCTTTCAGGCAGGCCTCCACTATCTGCAGTCATTAAATAAAACCAACTTGTCAGTAAAGTCAGAAAAAGATTATGAAATTAATCCTAACATGCAAACTACTGGAACATCAATGAAGTAGAATAATCAGTGTATCCCATATTCTTTAGACCATGATAGTCACAACTACAACAAACAATTAAAGTGTACCTTAAATGAAGGTTGAGGCACTTAGAAGCAATGAGAAGTCTTCTGAACTTTCTACCATCCCACCCCCCAAATAAACAAATTAAAAAAACCCACAAATAGTTACCAGGGGCAATCTGTATTTTACAGCCAGACTCTTGCTGTATGCGTGAGATCTGCTCTCCACCTCTGCCAATTACTTGAAGAAAGAAAATACAGAAAGATTACTTGTATTAACAGCATCTGCTAACATCCTGCACTATATACAGGACCACATCCATACTACTTACTGAATCCAACCATCCCATCTGGAACTTTGTATTCCTCTGTCATCACAGACCTACAGAGAATGTTAAACAGAAGACAATGACCATCCAGAGACCAAAGTGGCATTATTTTTATATATATATATACCCTCCCATTACTCTCAAGAAAGCTTTACCCTCCCATCAGCTTTAGAAGTCACTCTGCAAGCACAGTTCTGCCTAAGCTGACAATATACAGGAGCAACACAAAAGGTTCAAGTGTAACACAACTCAACCCAATCCCTTTATTGTGGTACAGAAAAGGCCACTGGAGCATTTCAAGTTTCATCTGCATATCCACTGCAGTATGCTGAAAATGTCAGCATCTCATCTACCAAACCCAGCCAAACCATAAGAATAATAGTGGGATGTGGTTCAGGCAAGAAAGGAGTGGAGAAAACCACTAAGTTGTAGCTGAGTAATCCTCTGTGTAAGGTTAGAATGTTTTTTTGTTTCTGAGTCCATCAAGGTTCCTTTTTGTTTACAAGATTGTGTCCCCCCCTTTCCCTTCAGATTCCAACTTCCAGTTATGCTCCCTATGGCTCCAGCAGCAAAAACCAGCAACATGTTTTCCTTTTCTTAAGCTTGATACACAGCCTAGGCTATGAAGAGAGAGAAACAGCAATGTAGATGCATTTGGAGTGTCTGACTTAGGACTTGCTGAAGCTAAATTACAACAGTCACAGAGTTGGTATCACTTTTTCAGAAAAAAATCTTGAAATTGCTTTATTTCAGTAAAAACAAGAACTCTACATAAGATGCAGTGCAACTCTTACCTTTGCTGCTGATGCATCGGTGGTAGCTGATTTCCAAAAGCTATAAACAAATATTGTTCAAATTAAATTCAAACAAGTGGTGTAGTTTACAACTAAGCTTCTGCTTTGGTAATAAAACTTAACTGTATCAATATTTTGTCCGAGTTGACTTTTAAGAATTCTTATCAACAGGTTTAAAAACAAATTTAAACATTAACTGTTGCTAAAACTGACACCACTGCCAGTTTTACAAAGCAGACTGGCTTTGCAAAATGAGACATAACCCCCCAGCCATTCTTTTGTTCTTACTTATTCAAGTGTCACCTACCAGAACACTTTCAAACTCCTGTTCTGACAATGTTACACTTGTTTAGGGTTTTTTGACAACAAAATAAAAATTACTTACAGTCGTTCTGAGGAGCAACTTTCTTAGCATCTGGTTGATCTGCAAAATTAAGATTTTTTAAATTTTTTTTGCCAAGGAATTCAATAAGCGTTTAAACGTTTTAGTGTGAATTGTAAATTTCCAGTGTATTTAGCCCCCTTTCTTTTTTTTTTCCTTTCTTTCTTTTTTCCTCCAATTTCAGGGAGCTGATCATCTGAATAAAAGAAAGAATCTCTCACGAGCACTCAGCACTTGGTTAGTATAGCTGAAAAGATGTTAGGTTTTTCCATGTATCTATTCAGTAGTTTAACAAAAGGCAGCTTTCAGGACTCGCTGTATGTAGATTGCTCAGATACCCAGTCACTGAAACTCAACTAAGACAAGGAACAAAGTTGAGCTCTGTTGGTTGCTCAAGCTAATGATGCTTCTATAGTAAAAAAAGAAAAAAAAAAATCAAATCCATACAAAAATCAACAATGACTTAAAAGAAAAAAAATTTTCTGACAATGACCACAAGTCTAGATCAAATATCCGAAAATACAACAGTATCACATGGCAATGCAATCTCAATCTGAATGTGGATATGAAATTCCTATCTAAATATCAAGCATTTCATAGCATAAAACTTCCAAAAAAACCAGATTCAAGCAACTACATCACTACTGTCCAAATCCTTTCTGTACAGTAGAGAAATAAAAGGCATCATTAACCTGTATCTAAAAAGACAGACTTCAGATGCTTCCTTCCCACCCCAAAATAAAGGCTAAATGAACCACCATAATTTATGCGCAGCAAAAACTCAGACACATATTCCAAGAAATATTTGTGTCAATCCAGAAAGATCCACTAGTTTATGTCATGTTTACATACTAAACACAGGTAATAAATAAAAATTCCTGCCTTTAAAAGGAGAGGGCATTCCCTCCCAGTGTGTTGTACTGCTCGGACTTGTCCAAGAGCCATCTACACATAAAATAAAAAGAATACATTACATATATCATCTGAAGCATCATTAGCTCATTTTTGTATATTAAAAACCTCACCTTCAATAGAAAAAAAAAAAACTTTATTGCAGGACATAAGAACTCCTGATATAAAGCCTTAGTTACATTCTGTAGTCTGAGTTTCAATCCTCTTAAAGGAAAAAAAAAGGCATTGCTCTTTTGTAAGACCTACGAGAACATTTCAACAAGCTCAGAGGCTTCTTTCCATAATTTAGCCAGGATTTTGTCTGGATAGTAAACATATCAAACCCTGTTAAGTTCAAAGTGGCTGCTCCATAAGAGACAGAAGACGACACACACACATTTCAGGAGAAAACTCTACTGCAGTGTAAGGCAAATCCAAAAAGCTGCAACAAGTCAGAAGATTTAAGTATGATCTTATCAGGGTTCACACATGCTGTAGGCTGAAATATTAGACTAACAAAAGTATCTACAAGGTAGAAAATTTACCTTCCTGTCTTTTTTAAAGTCCTATGCTCTTACAATGAAATGCAGTAATACTTTTATTTGAAATTGTGCAGTAATAAAGTATATGAAACTACTGTAACAAAGTATTTGAAACAATCTTGTGTAAACGGTGAGCACTTCTACTCTAACTTCCAAGCTGTAACCAGCCCCTCACAACAGAAGACTTCACTGACATACCTGTGCAGGCATTTCTCTCTACCAAGAATTTTGTTGCCCCCCCCCAACACACATTTTTTCATTTGCAGCGTTTAAACCACATTTAAAACAGGCTTACATTCACTTCAGTTTAGAGCACAACAGTTTGAAACAAATTTTCCCATTAAACTGAAAATGAAAGAGCATGTCAAGATCTACGAGGGAAACAAAATGTTTTAATGCTGTGCTATGGAAAAAAAAAATCGAATCCACCAACAAAACCACCACCTGCAATGTTTCTGGCACAGTGGCCGTAGTCAACAAAAACAAATGCAGCAGTAACGATTTCGTACCTCCATCCTCCAGAGGTCTTTTCTGTCCTCCATAACCGTAGTCGTTCGAGTTCATTGATGTGCCAGCATCTCCTCCAATTTTCGCTGCAATCTAAACAAAAGGCAGACGTTGTGAGCCAAGAAAAACGTAATTTTACTAGCTCATATTTATTCCAGACTTTCTAAGAGGTTTGAGAAATTCACACAATGAAAATAACCTAAAGAGAAGACCGTCACCAAAACCAGTTCCACTCACAAAAATTTTATTAATGTTTTAAGGAAGGCTTGTGCTCATCCTTCAACAGCAGAGCTTTCTGTATTTTTCTCATCCGTTGGAAAACAAAATCGACCCAGTTTCCCTTCAAACATCAGAAACTTTTTCCTAAGAGGGGATTTTCTTTCCGTGTTGCTGGAGGAACACCGCTGTGTCTCACCGAGGGCCTCACCGGCGAAACAATTCCAACGCTCAGCAGTCCGACCACACCGACTTTACA